TTTTACAAAAAGAAAAAAAAAAAAAAAGTAAAAAGAATTGAAAAAAATAATAAATAATATACGTGTCTTTATTTATTTTTTTGTTTTCTATCGAAACGCAAAGAGATGCGCAAAAGAGAGCATTTTCATAAAAAAGCAATGCGAAACAAAAGCAAAAAAGAAAAAAAAAACAAGAAATAAAACAAAAGAAGAGAAATGAAAAAGAAAGCGTAAATCATTGTATTGCAATGCAATAATAATCGACTTAATTATTAGAGAGGAATGATTTGATGAATAAGAAGTCAAGTTTTGCGAATAGATAAACTCGATAATTTACTGTTAAGCTATAAGAATTTTTTAATCCGAATATAATCATTTCTAAAATATTTTTTTGAAATCTTTAAAGTAAATATATATATATATATATATATAAATAAATATGGCGCAATATACGAAAGACAATATCGTAATGTGTTTTAACGTCAAAATGCATTATTTAATGTAATTTTCTTAAAAAAAAAAAAAGTGTTCTTCGTAAAAATACGTTTAGAAAAGATGAGGGGGGCAAACATCTTATGGCAATATTGCTGCACTCGCAATATATGAGATTTTAGATCAACGTTCGAGATGACTCACATAATTTATTGATCACACTATGTGTTAAAGCACGTTATTTAACATCACAAGCGGTGTGAAAGCAAGCAAGCAAACAAACAAACAAATAAATAATAAACAAAAAAAAAAAGAAAAAACAAAATTAAAAAAAAAAAAGAAAAAAAAAACATGTATGGTTATTCCTGTGCATTAAACGTTTTAGTATAGAAATTGTCACGTGCTCACGACACTCGCTAATTAGTATTGGTCATGGTGTAAAATAATGTATGTCATTCTTATCCGGTGGTAGTATCGTTGTCTGCGAAATATTGTACATTTCGTGACCTGTCAATTATAGGGAAGCAGATAATACAATTTTTAAAAAGAAGAAGAAGAAGAAGAAGCGCAAAATGATTAACAATCTGCGAAAAAGACAGTGTGTGATATATAATTCTGCAGAAGAAGACTCTATTAGAAAAAAAAAAAAAAATAAAAAAAGAATTTATACTTCTTTTCGTTTTCTACACGAAATAAATTCAAACGGAACGATCACATTGGCTGTTTATATAATTAATTATATTAAATGACAATGAAAAGAACACACGACTTGGATATTATTAATATTATTTACAGAGGACGACGACAATTTGAACAGCTCGCGGATTGGCTATAACGTACAACATATTTTAATTATATTGTAATTTAAATGTAAATATGCAGGAAGAAGGAATGTAGGTATTTTGTGTAAATGCAATTGTAAATATTAGATAAAATAAAGATCAAATTATCGTACCAGAATATCATCTTGTTTTTTTCATTATTTCTTCAAACTGTACTTCATTTAAAAAAGCAATAAATAATAAAAAATAATAATACTAATAATAATAATAATAACAATAAAAAATAATATATATTATATTTCTTTCATATATAATATTATATTATTTGAAAATAATTCAAATAAATCGTAAAATCGATATATTGTAAGATCGATAATCCCACATGAACGTAAAATTAACAAATTCTTAAACCTTAAAATTAGTATAGAATTTATTTCCATTAATAATAGGAAAGTAAAATGTTTGACCATTTGAAAAAATGTTAGAACATAAAATAAAACATTTTTCAAGTATTTTTTTTTTTTTTTTTATAAAAAAATGATGTCCTAATAAAATAAATATGTTAAAATTTCTTAATTTAAAATACACAAGGTTCTTGATAATATTGCTTCTTACCTGTTCGACCTACACCAGCGCTAGTGTCGATAATTGGAAGCTCTCGACGCGCATTTTTATTCCATGGCGGGCTTTTCGTGGCCTAGAAATTAAATCTTCACATTAATAAAAATATAATAATACTAATGATTTATTGAATAAAATATCAAATTATTACTATGACCAAATAAAATATAATTTCAACATAATAATTATTCTTATAAAAATCATTTTAAAATTGCATTATAATTGCAATAACAACATTATAATATCATCATTAAAATGAAGAAACTATTCAAATCATCGTATCTCATTGCAAATTTGATTCTGTCAATTTAAAAAATTAAAAATCAATTTAAAAATGTATCATCGGATAATAAATATCTGATAAAAATCTCTATCATCTTATCTAAATTATCAATATTAAATGAAAAGAAAAGAAAAGAAAAGAAAAAAAAGAAAATGAACAAATCTACAAAATTCTATAATAAACTTTCTCTTTCTCTCTCTTTCTCTCTTTCAAAAGAGATGTTCGTTCAGATGCTGTCATCAAGTTCGAATGAACACGAGTTAAGTTAGTGATGGTATGGTGGTAGTGGACCACTCAATAAGTAAAGAGGTGGGAAAGAAAAGAAAGAAGAAGAAGATGAAGAGAAGGAGGTGAATGAGGAGGAGAATGAGGAGATTGAAAAGGAGGAGGAGGAGGAGGAGGTGCAAGCGTGGTGGTTGTCAGGATCGTAAGAGCTGAAACGAGAAGAGATATCCTCGGTTCTCCTCGTGTGGGACCTATATAACTGTACTGTGTGTCTGGGTCAGGGGGCGGGCCGGCAAGTTTGTAGTATACTCTGTATATCGGACAGGTGTATCCCATTCCGAGTCGACGAGTTCTCGCGTGCACCTTCGCGATCGCGGACACGCCGCAGTTGCCGCAATCAACACCGTAATCGCCGCAACCGCGTGTCGTCGCGCGAAATTGCGGCTAATCTACTACTACTACTACTACTAATCTGCGCTAATTTGCGTTAGATCGCGGTCGACGTAAATCAGGGTTGAACATTTTAGGTGAGGCTTTTATAACTCTCACCTTTTTCATCATTTTCCTTGTTTTTTTTTTTTTTTTTTTTTTTTTTATAAATCATTTTTATCTATTTATTTTGTATTTTTCATTTTCATTATATTCACGGTCGTGCCAAGCAAGTGTCGTGTCAATTAATTTCTTTTCTTATTAATTATTTCTTTTTCTTTGCATTTTCATTTTGTTCATTTTCATTTTATCTCCTTTTAATGAATATTTATTGGGGAATTATTCGAAAAAGTGAGACGAGGTATCTTCGATTTGATAACGCTTTATACAAAGAGAGAGAGAGAGAGAGAGAGAAAAAAAAAACAAGTCAACTTAAGTTACATGTAATGTTAAAACAATTGCAAGATTAGATATTGATCGGATATTATCTAATTACTAAAGATTTTATTTGCCATTAGTGAATAATTGAATGATAATGCTACGTTTGCTATCAATAAAGCTTAAACGAGGGAATATCGTGCGAAGGATTTAATCCAATTTTCGTGATGTCAACGATTGAGTTATTATGCCTACTACGAGTAGCGTAATTTAGTTCCACTAATGCGTTAATGACACTGCTAGTGATAATAATCTCTCTCTCTCTCTCTCTCTCTCTCACCTCTCTATCTATTTATCTCGGTGAGAGCAAAATTACGTGTCCCGTGTATGGTAAAGGTAGTATTACAAACGACCACGTGGTTTTTCACTTTCTTGTCATCGTACGGGATGAGTCTTTTTATTTACGTATATACTTTCGTTAAGTATGAAATTTCTGTTGAACAAAAAAAAAAAAAACAACTTGCAAATTACACGAGATATTTCTAATGTATGTTATTTTCTTATATTTTATTTCTATTTCAATCGAAGATCTTAGAAAGTATATTAGAAGTGAGGATGTATAGATAAATGGCCGATGATCCAGTTTAATAACGTTTCAGACCACATTGAGAAAGTGCAACGTGTATGGTTTCACTATCAAGTTGTCGGGTTGCTTCCTAGTAATCAATTACCATGCGATTGATACCATGCAAAAGATAAATTAAATCTAGATAACACGTACATACTCTACTTATTTCATTTTACTTTATGATACATGAATATAATCATCTATCTAAATTTATTTATTTCTCTTCTAATATCTTCAATTGAATTCTTTTGTATAAAAACAAGTTTAATAAACGTGTCGATTTAATAATCGTTTCTTATAATAATCAATTATAATTAATTAATTCTTTTTGTTTATATTTGCCGTTTCAATTAAAATCGAAAAATAGTTAATTAAAAAAAAACGAACAACAACTACATAAAAATAAAATCACATACATCAAAATCATCGTTTGGAAAAGGATTTTAATCTTTAATAAGAAATACAAAAAAACTCTACTTTAAACCATTGACTGCAAACTACGATTAATTACAAATGTTTAATTGCGTTAATTATGAATTAATTAAAAAGATTGAATCAAATATTTATATGATGTAAAAAACATTAATTATCAATTATTGTAAATACCATTACAATATTCTATCAGTAACTGAATATTTTTCAAAATTTAAGGTAAAACGCTCTAAATATGTCTGCCAGTCAATGGGATTAACAGATTTGAAAATAGTTAATACGAAGAAATCAAAGTTTTTGTTGTTGTGTGAATATGAGTATGTGCACGTAAAGTTTTTGGTCGAGATAGGTTGGTCAAAATCATGTTTGTAAAAAGAGAGAGAGAGACAGAGAGAGAACGGTTTTGGTAGGCTACGATGAGAATAAGAGGGAGTGAAAGGAAAGATGTTAAGGGGAAATGAGGAGGAGAATGGGAAGGGGGGGGTGAAGTACACGAATGAAAAAACTAAAGAAGAGAGGAGGTCTCGGGGTCTCTTCTCCTTTCTCTATATAGGTCACTATTAGGTATGTATGTACTCATTATACGAATGCCTGACTTTGGAATTACCAAACCGTTATATGTATTTGGCACTACGCCACATCTTCTTCTTCTTCGTCTTCTTCGTGCTCGATTCAACGATTTAGTATGTAGAAGAACAGACGTGTAAATAGCCCCAGGTGATTTTTATTATTCGAACGTTGTATGAGGAACAAGTGTTCAACGATTAGTCGATGACACGAATTGCAAATCGATTAAAATTCAAATATATTATTTTTTTTATTTTTTTTTATTTTATCACATTACTAAGCTCGTTCATTTGTAATCGGATATACGATAGGATATAAGATTTTTCTACAATTTTATATCGAATGTTGGATAATAAATACTAGATGAAAGATCGTAGAAGGCAGGAGGAAGAGAAAGGGGGACGGAGGGATCATCGAACTTTATCTAATTTCCATTTTATTGGAACGACAAGTCACGATTTGTCCTTGGTTATCGATCAAGCACGTGAGTGAGTCGAGATCGAGAACGGTTCGTTCGATCGTAGGATCCCGTAATTGTTTTACCATTTTGCCTGGAGGCATTTCGTTTTTTTTTTTCTTGATACGATCGAATGATCTTTATGCGGTACGAGGTTTTAAAGATATCCTATCGGTATGAAGTAAATAAATGGATAATTTATAAATAATGATTATTGTTCTTTAAACTAATCAAAATCTCTGTGATTATATTGTTATCTTTTAACGAAGGTACTTAAGTCATTTCTTTGTAAGATTGTTCCGCGTTTACTGGCACAATGAACGCTATATCGCGATGTAACAGTAAGTGCAGTAAGGTACATACATATATATATGTATATATCAACCGCTAATTCAATGCCGGAGAGTCAACGTTCAACAACTCGACGGACCGTGTCACCTGGTCAAGGTCTTGCGTCTTCACGACGTTTCCTTTTGACTCTTCTCAACGAAGACAAGTATATGCAAGAGTAACGAAACCCACTTGCCTACATTCGGTAAATACGTGACGATACTAAACAATATCTTCTTATACTGAAAAAAAAAGAAGAAAACAAATACATTTTTCTATTTGTCAAAGACAAAAACAAATTTCAATTTATTCAGAAAGTATTATGATTGTGTGGTTTTGTATCATAGTTAATTAGAAAGTTCATTTAAATATTATTTTTGTTTTTTTTTTAAATTGACCAGAACTTTTCAAGCAATCAAATATTATTTTACAATAACCAAAAAAGAACATCGTTTAATCGAATAAATGTGTTCACACTTGTGTGTTGTGTTGTTAAAAATATAATATATGTATGAAACGTTTTGTAAATTACAATTAAATGATTATTTCGATCGATCGAATGATCGGTAGTAGGGTTGGATGGGAGGGGAGGAAAGGATTTGTAAAAAAAAAAAGATAACGGAGCGAAAAGCCGGACATTCGGTAGGAATTTGGGACGGGTGACCTAGTGGTTGGTTGAACGAGGCGTGCTCGTCTGATAATTGCCGATCAAACATGAGCGAACTGTCGAAGGACAGTGCGATGTCGGACTCACAAAAGTATTTTCTCTCGTATTACTACTTGGTAGAGACTACGGTTAACGGTTAACGCCTCTATTCTCGTCTCCTTTTTCGTTAACTCCCGTTGACGACTACGACGACTACGACTAAGACTAAGAAAACGTCTATTGCACTTTTCTCATTACGGTTAAAACGTCTACTTTACGATTACAGGATCCAGTTGGCCATTGTGAACTCTCGCGGGAAAAACGTCCCGGTATAATCGTGTTCAAACGTACCTCGATTAAATACAGGTAAATCAATGTTTACAACGATAAATTTATCATCACTTAATCCAGTTTCAAATGTGTTACCTGATATGTAAATATATATATATACACATATTTATTTTGTTTTGATATTTTAGGGGTTGCACTTTCGAGTGCCTCACCGTGGACGCCAACGCGGTATGCGGTTACGTGTTTTCGTCCTAGCCTGTCTCCTAATCAAGGGGGTGAGTTTTAAATATCCATTTAAAAATATAATAATAAACAATAAGAAAAAATAAGAAAGAGGAGATAAGATAAAAGTATCTTGAATTTGTATCAAAGACGAAAGATATGCTTGAGATGATAATAAATAAAAGGAATAAGAATAAGAATAAGAGGAAAGGTATACAAGATTTTGGAAATAGGTCGAGACCGCCCAGAAGCGAGATCGGTACGAGTTTGCTCTCGGATAATTACGACATTATAACCCACATATTTATCTCTCTCTCTCTTTCTCTCTTTCTCTTTCTCTCTATCTCTCAGTTGATACTTGTGGAGTAGTCGCAATGCCGTTACCCACCAGTGCTCTGACCCAGAGCTAAGGGCGACTTCAATGTCTCGAAATGGTTGTTGTACGATCCGGCTCATCCGCCATGTCTTTGCTGACTGTTCTCCAAGCACTGTATAACGTTTTATCCCTCTCTACCCTCTCTCTTCCTCCTCATCCTCTTCTTCTTATTCCCTTCTTACAACCATGCGCTTCTTTGCAAGGTGCCGGCAAAAATGTTGCACTCAGAACGACCGGTTCCTTTAACAACGACAAGACGATAATATATATATACACATTCATACACATACAAATACGCATACATATAAACACGCATACACCTATATATTTTCGCCCACCATTCTCCTCTACTGGGCCGACACGATTTTCGATCCGTTCGCAAGGCTTACGTCTTTTATCTTTCAACAAACCTGCAACAACCGTGCAGACCCGCATTCGGAATGCAATCTTACTTAGCCATGGCTAACATTTTCTTGCGGTTACCTGTTTTTTTTTTTTTTTTTTTTTTATCAGGAACAACGGGTACCTACCACGATATATACATGTATATATATGTACACCAAAATCTCATTTCTTTTACATTCTTTCATTTACATTTTGACAGTTATCGAACCATTACGGGGTATTATACCTATATCTTTTTCTTTTGTAATGTATTTCTAGAATTGTTTGAAATCTCGAAGACGCGCGTCATAGTGCGTGAAAGAGTAATTTTAACTAACGTGTAATTTCAAGTAGAATCTTTATAGTTATCTTTACACTAACTTGTTCTCGTATATTTTGATAAATTAAAAGGAAGAGAAGATAATCTTAACATTTAATCTTAATGTTTATTAGTTGACTCGATAAGTGATAAGCCTAATCTAATTAAATTCTATTTGACTTAGTAATAATTAATAAATAAGTCATTTCTTTTCGATAAAACCGGTAATATAAATTTACATTTATAATGTTAGATAACGCTTCGTAAAGATCGTTTACGCGATCAATGGAAGCACCATGAGTATGGTGAATGAAGCGTTTTACAACTTATCAGTGTCCACTTCTTCGAAGTAACGTTTAACCAGTGATCATCCTCTCAAGAGACCCCTTTACAAGGTAGTACTCAAGAATGTTGCACAGTCCACGACGATGACCGGTTTTGTCGATGCTTTATCGCATTATTGCATTCTTCAGGAAGAAAAGGGGGGAATGATTATTTCGACCCATTTACACGCCTTTCTTTTTCATCCTCATCCTCCTTCTCTTTCCTACCTCCTATTGTATATCCCTTAACCTTTTTTATTTTGTCAAAAAATTTACTAAATTATTAAACACCGATGCATGATTTGAAACAATAACGTTCCATTTTATTAGAAATCGGTCAGAGGTTTTAATCGATAAGTTAAAAGTATTGTTCCAAATTCATACAACGGAAGAAAAGAAAAAAAAGAAGCTGAAAAAGCTGTCGTATCTTTTTACGTTGAAAAGAATCAAATGGGTATAAGCAAAAGCAAGCAAGAGCAAACAAACAAACAAGTAAGCAAGCAAGCAAGCAAGCAACGGTCGTAGCACGAGTGACCTAGTAGGCCTTCCTCGAATTATGGGACATGCGGGTTGGAAAGCCATGACGAGACAAGCCCGGACATTGCCGATCGTTGGAAGGCCAAGGAGAGTTGTTCGGCGCATTCGAAGAGCGCATCAGAAGTGGTGTCTTGGTGCTTGATGGCCGATTGACCCGCAGCTAAAGACACGGCTGGCCCGTTATGCCCCAGGGTTACGCGTGACGCAATAAGCCACTCTATGCTCAACCGCTTATACACGAGTACACACAACATTGATGCTCCTATTCTGTCTTTTACTTTGTCCCTACCCAACTCACCGACCTATAGTCATCATTCGTTGAACCAATCTGAATCGAGTTTCTCGATCTTCTTCTTTCCCCAGCATGTCTTTCGTTTCTTTTACTGACAGTTGTTTCAAAACAGTTTTACGATAATAAATGAACGTTACCCTAGCCTCTGAGAAATTATTATTATTCATTTTCTTATAGGATAGATCGAAACGAGTGATATTACTCTTTTTCTCATTTTTAATAACAAGATTGAATTGATGATAAAAACGTGAGAACTTACTTTTTTTTTTGTTATCACGACGATGACGCGTGTGGTCTTTCAGAACGAGAGGAACGAGAAAAGAAAAAGAACTAAAAAGAAGCTAGAGAGAGAGAGAAAGATTTACCAGTCGCTAATTATGCAGGAGGCCGACGTTAATCTACTTTCGCGTTCCTCACCATCATTAATCTTTTCCATAGGCACTTGATTCCAACGTACTACTTGCAAAAACCGTTTTCAATATCACTTCTCATTTTATTTCTCTTTCTCTTAAAACAGCTGGCTCGAACAGAAGAGGTGGAAGTGGTCGAGGCGATTCCAGGCGAGGAAAAGAGGAACGAAAATTCTCCGTTAAATCGGCAGGACAACGACATCAATAGTTCCGACCAGTTAGTTTTGGATTCCTTGGGTGAAAAGGATGGGGCAGGAAGTCATTACAAATCTGGGAGTCTCCGAGGTAATCCACTGCCACCAGGTCGAGGTGGGATCGGCATGCCTCATCCGAGACCTCATCACAATGTCGCTTATCATGGTCCTCCACCGCCTTTGCCAGCTCATAAGACGCAACCCGAGGCCATGGATAAGATCTATACGACTGGTGGAGGTGGCGTCAGTACTGCGGTAGGTGCTGAACCATGGCCTGCACCGACCCCAGACATGCCGATGATCGTATCGCTCGACGTAAAGTGCGAGAAAAGTTTAATGAAGGTTTATCTTGGATTTGACAAGCCATTTTATGGTATAGTCTTTAGCAAGGGACATTACAGTAATGTCAATTGTGTTCATTTACCAGCCGGGCTTGGTCGTACATCAGTAAACTTTGAAATAAGCGTACACGCTTGTGGTACTGCTGGCAATACGGAGAATGGTCTTTATGGATATGGAGCTGGATCGGGGACCTACTTCGAAAACATCATTGTCATACAATACGATCCGCAGGTGCAAGAAGTCTGGGACCAAGCTCGCAAGTTACGATGCACTTGGCACGATCTCTATGAGAAATCAGTTACCTTCCGACCTTTTCCCGTTGACATGTTGGACGTCGTTCGCGCGGATTTTGCCGGGGACAATGTTGGTTGTTGGATGCAGATACAGGTTGGTAAAGGTCCATGGGCTTCCGAAGTTTCTGGTTTGGTTAAAATTGGACAAACTATGACGATGGTTTTGGCGATCAAGGATGACGATTCGAAGTTTGACATGCTTGTAAGAAACTGCATGGCTCACGATGGCAAACGAGCACCGATACAGCTCGTTGATCAGAGAGGTTGCATCACGAGACCTAAATTAATGTCGAGATTCACTAAGATCAAGAACTTTGGTGCTTCGGCTTCTGTATTATCTTACGCCCATTTCCAAGCATTCAAGTTTCCAGATTCCATGGAGGTACACTTTCAGTGTACAATACAGATATGCAGATATCACTGTCCAGAACAGTGTTCGGAATCCTCTCCATTACTCGAACCACAAGGACCTGGCTTATTTGAGAATCATCATCATCATCAATCTAATGGACCACCTGATGCTGGTTATGGTTTACCACCTCCTCTGCCAATACATTTGGAAGCTTACTTGCAAGCAGCTGCTGGTAGACCGAGAGATGAAAGACGAAGAAAATCTCGAGAGATCGTAGCAACTCCGGAAAAATCTGTTGGAGTCAATAGAATCATCAGAGTCGTATCTACCGGTGATTTAACATTTTCCATCGATGAGAATAACAACGGAGATATGAACGGACCAACTATGGTGTTTCCACAAAAAACTGAGACTCCTACTGCTGGTTCAACAATGATTTGCATGACTACACCTGGCTTTGCGGTGACATTAGTAGTTCTACTTGCAGTTTTACTTTGCTCTTGCATATTATCAACTTATCTCTGTATACGTCTAAGACCATTCTCGATAAAATCACGAAAATCTGTGTCCTATTGCAGCAGAGAACAAAATGGTGCACCGAAAAAATCCTCGAGGATGTGTTTCTACTCTTAGTGTATCACATTGAACGTTTTTAACATTAGAAGAAACTATCTTCTTAACTCGGCGAACTATTGGGACTGAGAGGATAATAAAATTATGTTTTGTGCATTGATCGATTAAGTACAATCGTTGTTTTTTTGTAAAACGCATTAGTCAGTTACCAATATTCTTTTTGTTTTTGTTTTTATTATTTATGTCGAAAGAGGTAAAAAAAGACGCTTATCGATTTTAATAAAAATGATCGTACATCTGGCAGACTATTTATCTTTTAAAGATGCTACAAGTACGATTATTTTTATTATAATATGATACTTGAAAAAAAAAAAAGGAAAATCTTTAAATGTGGTAACTTTAAAAAAAATAATCATTTGATCAAGATTATTATTTCCTTTCTTCCCATGTTCATTGCCAATTTTCGCAGAGGCTATCGCTTTTCGTAAGCACAATTTCATATTACAATATGTGTAATTATTATTTAAATGAAACATTTTTTATTATTTTAATTTGTTTGATTTCATGAAGAATATATATATATATATATATATATATATATATGAAACTGTGCTTTGTTTACGATATATGTAATATCGAAAAGCGACCGATGATAAAAGTGCCGAAATACTTAGTCAAAGATAATCAAACTGTTTATTCATGCGTTTGTTTATTCCGTTTCACCACAAGTCGTTTTTTTAACACTTTAATGGCCGCATGTGTACGCAGTCAAACGTCGTTACCAGGGGCCCGGTAATATTTTTCAAGAATTAATTTAAAAAAAAAAAAAAAAACAACTTTATTGTCATTCACGAAAAAATTAACATAAAACAAAAAACAACAATTTAATAAGAACATTAATTTTACATATATAATAATTTTAAATATATATATATATAAAGTTATAAATAAAATAACGGCCAATGTTCCAACTATCACACACATGTTGTGTGAGCGACCATTAAAGTGTTAATAATTCTTTATAATAATAATAATAATTGTATGCGATTTATCTGGTATCTGGGTTGAAATCTTTTTTTTTTTTTTTTTAATTTAAGTGACGTTCTCGTTAACGATATAAAAAAAAAAAAAGAAAATTGAATTGAAGAAAAAGAAGAAGAATGTTTTTTTTTTTTACTCACAGTCTCGTTGTTTTGTGAATTAAGAAAAAAAAAAAAAGAGCTGAAAATATTTTTTCAAGCTTGGACGGTGCCAATAAATTATTCATGTTTATATTATATATACATTATAATTAATAATAATAATAATAATAATAATAATAATAATAATAATAATAATAGTAATATTAATAATCTATTTAATGTAATTTTCAAAACAGAGTAATATCAAAATTGGATAAATCATGTAAAAGAGATGACAGAAAAATAAAATGTAAAAGTGTAAGGTAAATAGTGGATAAAAAAAAAAGAAGAAAAAAAAAAAGAAGATTTTTCTCGAGTTTGTAGAAAATTTCTTTGTTCATCGTATAGTTCGTTGTTTATATAAATTATTTGATTATATTTATTTATTTATTTTATATCACATATTTTCTGCGTCTTTATTAGTCGTATTCTAATTAAGAAATATAATATTTATAGTATCAATTATTAATTTGAAATTAATTTATTTTAATTTTCAACTGGTATATAAAAGAAAACAAAAAAAAAAAAAGAAATAATCAAATATCTTTTAAAATGTTATCTCAATTTTCGTAGAATATTAGATAATGGAGTTTAGATAATTTAGATTATAAATAGTTTTTTTTTTTTTTTTTTAATAATTAATTCAAATCCGTGCGAATTATTATTATTATTATTATATAAGAGAGAACGTAGAAATAAGTTTATTTAAACGTACCTTTTGTTCATTGGATGAACGTGTCCAATTTGAAAAAGGCAATGTCTATATTTTTATACGCGTATGTTTATAATAAATTTATTTTTTATTTACAAAAATGTATATTTTCTTATTTTTATATATATATATAATAATGTTCTATCCGCTAGGAGAGATGGGTTTTCGTGATTTGTTATTTTTTTCTTCTTTTTTTTTTTATAGAAAAGAATTTTCTCTCTCCTATTTTATTGTATATTCTTAATTTATTTTTTTTTTTATATATATTTATTTATTTATGGGATGAATAATTATTGAAATCATCCAATAATCATTCGAGATACTGTAAATATATTTATTGTCTTAAATTGTTTAAATGCATATTGTTTAAATAGAAACATCATCTTCAAAAATATATTATCGAATTGATCATTATGAATTAAATTTTTTAATTGGAATATTTTGTTTCAATTTTTTTTTCTTGTTTTTTTTTTTCTTTTTTTTTTTCATTTAACGCTATATAAAAAGAAATTTATATTTATATATTTAAAAAAAAAAAAAAAAAATACAATTGAATATAAAAATCATGAAAAGTACGATTAGAGAAGAAGAATTATTGTTCGTACAATTAAATTAATATATTTATCCTTATATTTTTAAACGTACAAGAGAAAATAAAATTTTTTTTTTTTTTACACGTCTAACACACGTATATTTATTATTATTATTATTACTATTATTATTATTATTATTTATATAAACGTAAAGTTTGATTTTCTTAAAAAATTAATACGCGTTGTGACATTCACGGTACTTCTCTCCATTTTATCTTCTTATTTGTTTCTTCTTCTTTATCTTTTTTTTTTTTTTTGGGATAAATAAAATAATAAGATTTGATATTAATAAAGAAAAGTATAGAAAAGAGCAAAGAACAGAGAAAAGAATAGAAAAAGAAAAATAGAAACAACGTGACACGATTGTTTTATAATAATAAAGGCTAATGAACTTTTACACAACGAGTATACAAATTATCATCTAAAGAAGAACAAAAATTATGTAGAAATGAGAAAAGATTGTGTTACGATATAAAAAAAAATAAAAAAATAAAAAAATAAAAATGAAATATTTGTCTCTTCTCGTTCGATGGCGTCTGGTTTAATTAACAAGAAAATTCTCATTTCTAATTTTGAAACATTTAACTAAATACATGGTGTCATTCATTTAATTTTACAATTTAGATTATACATACATTTAAGAACTTCATCATCATCATTATTATGACACCTAGAAATGATTAATTTCATTCACCTTTCTTTATTAACAAATAATAGTCAAATAGAACACGTCAAACAATTTGGATGATATCAAATGGTTGAAGAAAAGGTGATTTTTGTTTCGAACGTGAATCGGCAATGAAGGTGAGCTTGTATCTTTCCAGACACGTATCGCTATTATCCCTTAAAGGTTTCACGATATCCTGAGCTTCGAGAGAGAGAGAGAGAGAGAGAGAGAGAAAGAGAAAGAGAAAGACAATAAGGATTGGCATTAATGGCTCGAGAAATGTAGTTGGAACGATAGAAGACCCATCGTCTCTCGTGAATACGAACGACCAAATCTTTCGACGATGTCCTTTGAATAGAATGAATTGAAGATAACTCTAACGAAAGATAAACGGTAAAAGAAAGAGAAGAAAGAAAGATAGAAAGGAGAAGAAAATTAATAAAAAAATAAAAAAAAAAATAAAAAAAAAATGGAAAAAAAAGATTACTAACTCTCGACTAATATACGACTCGGAGATTATTGATTGATCGGGCTTGATCCTACGTACGCATCCTTACGTTTTACTTTGTACAGCGTATTATTGCACATAGTCTCTCGGAGAGCATTATTATCACTGCTTGGGATAATCTGTCCGATGAAATGAATCGTCGAGTCGCTCGGAGTAGTCGTCAACACAGTTTAATCAGCCTCTTTCAACCGAAGGTGTCTCTCTGGAGACTATTTCGTTAGTTTGTTTTTGCAATTGCGCGGATGAGGGTGGTGGCGGTGGAGGTGGTGGTGGTCTCGTCGTGCAACGTACACGAAGTAAACCATAAAGCAACCAACCGTTTGTCGTAGGTCCACCAACAACTGCTCGATTTTTTCTGCTACTACCAACTACCGCTTCACGTTGAGCTTGCAATCGATGCAACATAGCACCAGCAACCAGTGCCGAGACTACGGCTGAAAGGGCTACCACTACGAAAAGTGCACTGAACCCTGGCATTGGTAAACAAATACCATATACGACCTCCTCTCGTATTCTTCCTTGAAAGACCGTAACAGCTTCAGCGTGGGTGTCAGGACTGAAGGCCAGGTCAGCTTCCGAGATTACTTCGTAGATTCCACTAACACCAACGTCTGCGCTTCTAACCTTTCTGTCCGACACCACGACCGATCTCTTTCGTCTCACGTTAACAGAAGACAACGGTGTCACTGGCCTCGAATCACCGTCCTCTTCTAAGTTACGCGGTCCGTGAGGAAATTGTTCACGGTCGCTCTCGTATCTCGTCACTCTTGGTGGTTCCTGTAAATAGATAATACAAATATTTTTCACAGGAAATCAAAATGATCTTTATCTAGAAAAAAATTATAATACGTTACATTATTATTCATTTACGTTAATTAAATTTTATTTATTTAAATATACTTATTTATTTTAACGAGAATTATTCGATGCTGTAAAATCCCTCGCACCCATTCTACCATTCTTGTGATTAAAGAGATCATTATGTCAATGAGAAAAGTAGAGAGTATCGCTAGTTAGTTAGATCTTTGATCTAACTAAAGAGAGCCTACCAACATTGCTTGGGAACTCGAAACGAGGTGGAAACATAATGCGGCTGATAATTGGAAGCAACTGACAATTAGTCTGATTCAATTACAATGCGAATAGAGTTAAATAGTACTTTTATTAAGAGTAATAGTGTTGAGTGATATGATAGGAGGAGTTTAAAAATGTAATTTTAAAATCACTGTATAAATCATAATTACCAAGTACGGCCGCGAAAGATCGTCCGGATGTACATCGTCCTCGTTTTGCGGTTCTATTACGGGTGCTGGTAGTCGATTGTTAGTTTGCGGCTGTGCCTTTACAACTGACTTCTCGATCCCCAGAAATTGTCCGCCTATCGAAGTCATCTCGTCACCGTTCTGAATGATGTCGTCGTAAAGGGAACCGTCATTTTGCTCATCGTTTACGCCTCCATCGTTTTTCTCCGCACTATTATTATCGTCGTTATGAATGATGGGCGTTCCTGTGGTTTGATGATATTGCTGAAGGATTTGATCCTTCCGTTCTTGAATATAATGGCCAACCGAACCGCTAAGTTGACAGTGGTCGAGACAACCGTGCCGACAGATCTCCACCTTGACGAACAAAATAATCAAAAATGAAATAATCTTTTCATACGTTGAAACCAATTGTTCGATCAAATTTCATTTGAAAACAATCGTCTAACCTTGCATTTGATGTGAACGCTTAGAGCATCGGGAAATTTGAAAGCATGGAAGAACGCATATGTTATTACTGTAGCACGATCATCCGATCCTCTGGCCTTGAGAAAACGGCTTATCATCTTAGGCCTTAGAACGCATCCAAACTCGTCGCTTAGTTGTATCGTGTGACCACCACCGTCCGATGCTACGCACGATTTAACTCTCATGTCGAACTCACCTGCGCCCAGTTTAATAACGAGAATTATGTTAGAGTAAGTTCGTGTTTTAGGTGTGCGAGGAGTATCGTGTACCTTGGGAGTTCTGTCGCTCGTTACCTCGGTAATCGTTTATTGCGACGACCAGCGTGAGAGTCGAGCCAAGAGGAACGATGCCAGACACAGGTGGAGCCCATGGTCCCTTTCCATGTTGTATTTCCATCCAACAGTCCACGTTGTCCCCTTTTGAATATCAAATCGTTTCAATCTCTATATACCTTTTATTTTTTTTTTTGCTTTTCGAAACTTTAACACGTTCGCAGACCCTTTACGAGATAAAAAAAGAATAAGAAGAAATAACAATTTCTCTTTCTTTCTCTCTCTCTTTCTCTCTCTTACAACGAAATCATTTGCAATTTTGTTTCAAAGTATTTCGTTTTTCAAACGAATACACACATTTTTTTTCGTGTTCGTACAACACACAAATTTAAGATTCACTTGCCGAGAATACTGGGCACCTACGCGAAACGTATGCATTCACGTTACGAATGCTGAAATTAAGTAGCAATCCTGCGGTTCCACACCTGTGGTCAACCGCGGATACACGAGTCCTCGTGTAGAGAAGTGTATAGCGCGATCTCGCGCATTAAACTCTTTCTACCACGAAGATCATGGTGTACCCAATTGTTATATCCGCCCACTGTGTATTTAGTCCCACGTGTGATATCATTGTCAATAATTTTCTATAGAATTTGATCGATTATAAAAATATCAAATAGAATATGATGAATGGGTTTAACCACTTGCCCTACAAAGACGTGTCACGCACGTCAAGATGCTTTTGTTTCAAAACTGCGCCTATCAACGTGATGTACACGTGGTAAATAGATTTATATTATTTTCATCATATCAACCAATATTGTAAAATGGAAAATAATAATAAATTCAGTGATATTGTTTCGACAAGTGCAATATTGTAGCGCACGGCACCGCAACCGTGAAGTTAAATTGTAGGACAAGTGGTTAACAGTGTCAACAATTTACCTCGAAAATCTAATTGTATGACATCGAGATCGGCTATAACCATTGGTGGTTTTGATGCAGTTTTTTCATAATCGTTGAACCATTCGCATCGTAATCGTTTAGCTTCGTCCCAAACTTCGAGCAAATCTTTATCGTATTGAACGACAACGGTGTTTTCGTAGAATTGACCGTGCATGTCTGGCTTTGTACCACATCTGTAAACACACAACAGATTATTTCAATTGTATTGATTAAAAATTAGAATATTGTTTAATTGATATTACCTGGCATATGCTATTCGAAACGAAAAGAAGGTTTGTCCTGTCGATGGTGGAACGTAAACGCATCGTGGATCAGCATGCTGGCCCTTGGACGATACTATTCCCTCAAAAGGTTGCGAGAACGATAAATGAACGTCCATGTGATCTTTTCCGCACATCACCTCGAGGGATTGGATGGCTGGCATGCCCTCTGGCCTTTCCAGCGGCCAGATGTCGCCGTTGCTACCAACGTTCTTCAAGCCAACCATCTAAAGAATCCAAAGAATAAACTTTCTTCAACTTTTTTTTAATACCCATAATATATTTACCTTTCCAATTATAAGTTGGAGGTAAGATAAATAAACCATATGAGCGTGTATGAAAAAAAAAAGAAGAAAAAAAGCACACACACACATTTTCTTGGAATTCTGAACAGAAGTAAAGTACCTGAGTTACGATCATGTTGATCCATGTCTTTAACGTAGTAGCATAAAACGCTTAGGTTAGAAGATAAGTTTTCTTTCAAATAGAAATTTATTCGCGTAGATATTATTATTTGACTGGGTAATGTTAAAAAGGATTTCCGGAGTTATACGAGGATACGTGGCTGGAATCGAATAGTTTTTCAACAAAATGTGTCCCACCCCTTTTTACTATTTGCCGAGATCTACACACACAAAAATCTTCCTACTTCTTTCGTATTTATGATATAGGTGGTATGGAAAATGAAATCAGAAGAAAAAAATAAATAAAAATCAAAGAAATAAAATGAAATGAAAAACGGGGGTGAAGGAAGGAGACTCCTATTATTTCGTTTTGAAACGTGGATCTCTAACCGACGAGGTCGTTTTCTGTTATTTCAGAAAATTTCTTCTTCCTTGGGTTACGCGAAACGACTACGACCTCTTCGATCGAGGTTAGAGAAAATTATGGTTCTTACTAGGAAAAAAAAAAAAAAAAGAAAAGAAAAAAACAAGCCCTCTCTTTGAAATCTCACGTGAATACTATCTCACACGACAATGTTGAATGGGTGTAGAGGATAAGGTACTTGTCTTTGAAGAGGTTAGGTCAAAAGTAACATCGTTTTCTTCCTACTTCTCTTTGCCAACTATAATTTTCTTCTGCACGTGCTGAAATTGTACTTATGTATATATATGTATGTGTTGTTAGTTATTTCGTTATTTTTGACAACATTTTTCTTTACAAAATTCTTTAACGTTTTATTTCTCAAGATAAATATTTTACTCGTTTATTTGAGTTATTTTTTTCTTGGTCTTCTTATTTCTTCAAAATCTTTCTTTTTTTATTCCTCTTAATTAAGAAATTAAACAATTGTGTAAAAAGAGGCAGAAATTTTGACGATGAATGCATAATTTCAATTTCTCGAGATAAATTCTTAATTTGTATTTTTTTTTATTTTTCTTCTCTTTAAAACCTTTCTTTTTATTTTATTACTCTTAATTAAGAAATTAAACAATTGTGTAAAAAGAGGAAGAAATTTTGACGATGAATGCATAATTTCAATTTCTCGAGATAAATTCTTAATTTGTATTTTTTTTATTTTTCTTCTCTTTAAAACCTTTCTTTTTATTTTATTCCTCTTAATTAAGAAATTAAACAATCGTGTAAAAAGAGGAAGAAATTTTGACGATGAATGCATAATTTCAATTTTCGTCCTACGTGTCTGTCTATTTGGCAAATATTTGTAATCAACGAATGTGCCGGAGGAGATAACAGTTCTTCAAAAAAAAAAAAAAAAAGAAAAAAAAATGATTGCGGTAGAGTAGTTTGTTTGCTCACCATATATATGTATAAGTGAATTACTCAAAGCGATAATGAAGAAGAATTTAACTTCATAATAAGCGTTTTAATTGATTGATTATAGGAAAATTTGTCGTGTTTAGAAACAAACAAACAAACAAACAAACAAACAAACAAAAAAAAAGGGTAAACCATAAGAGACACGTTGTACGTCAGCGATGAAATAATTACACCCTTTTTCTTGTGATTATCGATAATGAAATAGCACTAATCCTAAGAAGGGGAGTGAATGATCGTATAATTACAGATAATTCACTGTATTTTCTTACACACTTTAAACTTCAATGAAATAGGATCTTAGTCGTGTATCATCAAAAAGGATTTTAAACGATTACTTCCTCCCTATTTTACTATCATAAAAAGAATGAAAAATAAAAGAAAGAGAGAGAGAGGGAGAGAGAGAGAGATAGAGACAATGAAAAATAGATAGGAAAAACTAGAATCTTTTGATTTATGGGAAATATTCTTCATGCTCGATCGAGAAACTTATGATCATATGTAACAACATCCAATAATACAGTTTGCTACCAAGCGAAGATAATGACAGTGTGTATGTGTGTGTGTGTGTGTGTGTATGTATGTGAAGCGTATAATAATCATCTCGATTGATGGATCGAAACGAGCGTTATGTTGCATCATAGAAATCTTGTTATTTCTGATATTACAACTTTCTATCTTTTATTTTAATAACAAAGTAAGTATATGTTATAATTTTACATAATTTAGATCGATATATCAAAGCGCGACTATTTTATTGATAAACGAATGAAAAAGTTTATTTACTAATTAATTATTAAGACTATGAAGTTCGGTGGCTCTACATTGGTGCCATTCGGAAATTATCGCGCAAACGCGATATACACATATATTATAGTATAATAATTATTACTAATTATTAAATTAGTAATATTAATTAAAGTAATTTAAAATTTAAGTAAAATTATTAAAATAGTAATATTAAAATTAGTATATATACTTATTATATATACTACAATATATATAGTTTAATAATTATATTAATTATTACATATTATATATTTATAATAATATATATTAACATAAATACCGACATGCGGGGACGGCATAGTGTTTAATTATAATTAAATTCAAATCGAGTATGAAATGAATCAATTTAATCGTTCATATTTTCTATTCGATTACTTTCAAATTAGTCACAACGTTGACATGTTACAGATATCAAATATGTTGAAAATTTTGAAAAATATTCAAGTTTTACGAGCAACAGTAAAAACTTGAAGATAAATGAAAATCCGGTCATCTTATGTCGAAGGCCATCGTGACTGGAAATACACATATACACACATATGAGAGAGAAAGACTAGGTAGAAGATTACGAGGTAGGTCATGAGAGATTAGGCGTGTCCGTCTCTCATCTGAACGTTTCTAGAAATGACGTTCCGTTCCGTTCCGTTGTATGTGCATGTAAGTCTATCCTGTCGTATTACTTCGAACGTGGTTAGTTCAATAAAGATAAAGAAAGAAAGAAAGAGAGAAAATCCGCGACACGTACGTAAACGAGGCTGAAACGATGGAAGGTGTTCCCCATGTATTCCATGCTCGCGCAATGCTGTAACGGGAGAGGCGTCTTTACCGCTGCATTAACGGTCGCTGTTTTTCGCACAAGTGAAAACAAGTTTCTGAGCTCTTACAATCGCACTGTTAAATGACAACGTTTCATTAGAAATGATTACGCACCTGGCGAACCGTCTACCACCACCACCACCACCACCACCATCATCATCACCACCACCATGCTTCAGCTATCAGCCAGCTCGTGCTCATCGTCTATCTCTTTCTACATCAGAAACCTGAATCTTTTTGCTAACTTGTTATCGAGAGAAGATCGTTTCAGGATCATCTTACAGATCCTTCCTTTAACCACCTTCTTTCTGTAGGATTAAAAGTGTTCCACCCTTTTTGTAATTGTTGTTAATGTACGTTGGGACATTTTTAGTATCACTTTGAATATATTGCAATAACTGCATGAGTATGCAGGGTTTATATTTGATCTCATTTAAGTTAAGCATTTGGTAACATCTTCAATAAATATTACAAATGTAATTAAATTATTATTCCTTTTGTTTTTGATTTTATCTTTTATTCATTATTGATCAAAATATATTAATTTTGTTTCATTTATAAAAAATAAATATGTAATCGGATTATGAAACATTTTTCAATGAATTTCATTTGATATGTCAACGAATAGGAAATATAATTTATGGTTAGATAATAAAATGTCTTGACTTAGTATTTAAAAATATATAAACTGTTCATGATATTTATCATGAACACATTTTAAAAGCGGAAACGTTTCTCATAGGGGTAGGCTTTACGATTACTCAACGGCAGTTCGTTAAAACCACAAATGTAGTATCAGTAATCCTAGTAACTCGACTGAGTGCCAACCCATGCTGGTAGTATATGGTATTCATTCTGGATATATTTCCCCCCTGGCTTTTTGAATACTAATGCCAGTAACTACCCACTCGATTGTATTCTCTGTCTGACACGCGGAAATCATTTTTCTTTACTGGACTTGTCTATCTATCAAACTCAAACAGCCCTTTCTATCTCTCTTTTAGCCCTTTTTTATTTTTTATAATTTTATTTCTTTACATATTTTACTGTCAAATATTTTGGGATTGGCAACTAAATGATTGCAGATTTTAAATGAGAATGAAAATAAAAATATAAATTTATTCAATTAGGTATTGCCCATTTTTATTGATGACCTTTTTTACCAGTGTCATAATGTCACGTGCATCAAATTTCTGATCTTTGCTATCAAAAAACTGAATTAGGTGTAAAACAAAATCCGCAATGATTTAATTGCCAACCCAATATCTTCCAAACTAGTCAAAGATAACAAGCATATCCGGTTTTTTTTTTTATTAACGTTCGATTTATCAAGTCTCTCGATGTTCGCTATTTTCTATTATATACAAATAAAAAATAAAAAATAGGAAGTGAAGAAAGAAGATTAGTAATACACTAATTAATAACTAGTAACTAGTTACTAATTATTGTTAGTAGTATTATTTATTGTTGTTACTATTACTAGTTTATTTATATTTATTATTTAATAAAATAGAAATTATTTTACCATACCATTAAAAAAAATAGTAATTAGTAGTACTAATAACAGTAGTACTAGTAATTACTAGTACTAATTATTGTTAGTAGTACTATTTATTGTTGTTACTATTAGTAGACTACTTTTTTTTATTATTTAATAAAATAGAAATTATTTTATCATACCATTCCAAAAAAAATAGTAATTATTGTAGTTACTAATAACTAGTAACTAATAACTAATAACTAATAAATAATAAGTAACTAATAAACTAATTGTCAACAAACCGATTTTCAATATATCTATATATATACTATATCTTTTGAAAATAATCAAATTATCATGATAACGGCTTTAGATCTGAACCTGGCAAACAGACAGGACATGCACACGCACACGTACACAAATATACAGTCCAGTCAATCGTTTTTATCGAGTTCACTCCCCAGCATAGTGATTCCCCGTTCTAAGTTGAGATCGATTCCTGAGATATCTGAAGTCGAGTTAAGGCAATAGTAGACATAGAAAGAAATAGGAGAAGAAGGTGGTGGTAGTAGTAAAGAAAGAGTAGGAAGAAGAAGAAGAAAAAGAAGAAGAAGAAGAAAAAGAAGAAGAAGGAAACGTGAAATCCATGACGTGAAGCCACGTTTTCCAAGGCGAAAGCGCAATAAGAGATCTGACTGTCCAGACACCGTCGATAGCAGCAGCCAGGCAGTGTGCCTGCAATGATGCTCTTGAATAATGTAAATTGATGGTGCTGGTAGTAGACTGGGACGATCTTAGGGTGACGATGTTGGTGGTAGTAATGGTGGTGATGATTGTGGTGGTGGTGGTGGTGGGATCTTTGGATGTTCACCTAACGGTACTTAGAGTAGGCACCAATATCCGCTTGCAAGCTGTTGCGATTACTGCGTCGTCATCGCATTGTCATCGTCAAAGTTATCATGAGAGTTTCTCTTTTGATCGCTTTTCTCTTTTTTTTTTGTTGTTTGTTTCAAGATTACTATATAGTTCTTATTTTTTTTTTTTTTTTTATATCCTTCTGTTCTGTTCTGTGTTCCTTTTCATCTTCTCCAAATTACATATATGTATATATATGTATACATCTTTTAAAACCGGTACCAAAGCTAACTTTTTTGAGGATCATTAGATTCAACAAAATCCTACATATTTCTTAACCGTTATTCTTTAATTAAAGGATCGCGCTAGTGAATTACTACAGTCCATTATCGGAATTGCTTATTTCTAATGTTGCTACCTTCATAGGGAATCTAATTGATGGACAAAAGAAACCGCTACGAACGATAGATGAGGAATAAAGATTACCATAAACATTCCCACGTATCTAACTTGATTCTAATATAACTACTCGAGAAAAGACAGATAGATAGAGGAAGAGAGAGAGAGTTTAGATAAGTTCGGTGAATGATCAAAGTTCGAACTAGCCGATGTCTTGTACCGTATTATCGAACCATGTATCGTACAACTGGGAATCGATACTTGATAGTATTATCGATTTACTTACTTAACTTTTTCACTAAGCTATGATAATAATCTTTAAGTAAGATGAAGAGAAAGTGATGCTTCGTGATAATCTTTGTGTTAAATTTTAACAATTTTGTTTAAATGTTAGAAATAATTCGAAATAATTGACGATCTTGTTGTATTTTTACAATGATAATTATTATAATAATTATAACAATGACAAGATAAATGATCTGACGTTAAAAGATGATTTAAAATTGTTTTTTAGCACGCGTAATGTTAATTAAACATTGTTCAATCTATCAAACAATCAAACATTGTTTCAATAATTTTGTAACTACCTCTATATTCTTAACCTAATTTTTTAAATAATTTGTTTGTTTGTTAATATAGGTTTATTAATATACCTATTATAATATTTATCATTACTAATACCATTACTAATATACAGTAATTTATTAATATACCTCAATATAAAAATACAAATAAATAAATAAATGTCTATCAAGGATTATTCAAATTTATGATACTAAGAATCTATTGGGTTGTCTGGAAAGTTTGTGCCGATTTTTGGTAGATGGCATAAAGTTCTTTTGCTAAGAAAAACCTGAAAAATTCGCTGGAAGGATAAAATTTTGAAGTTAACCTTAAAGATGGGGAAAAAGTCGTGGAACAGAAAGTAATTTCGCTTTTTAACCTTAAATTCAAACAAATACATTTTTAACAAATTTGTATTTTCAATCAATAACATAATCAACCTCATTATGTTATCAACAACCTTTTTTCATCTAGTATGCAAATGTTTAATACTGGACCGATAAGAATTGACATACGTGGAAATGACATTACTTTCCGGTCTCCCTAATAATTTAATAAATATATATTATTCCCAAAAAAGATCTTAAATGTGTTGCATTTCAATCTTCCATCAAAATTGTGCACAAACTTTTCGGACAACCCAATAATTTAGGAACTGCAAATGAACGATTTAACTTACCATATAGATCAGCATGCGTAGCAACTTCCACACCCCTGGCATCCTGGAGGTCCCAGCCTCTCACGATGAAACACGCTTCCCTGAAATAGATCAAAATATATTAATATTAATTTCTATTCTTTATTTTATTTGATTATTTTTTGATCGATGATATTATAAGACCATACGAAACGAAACGAAACGAAACGAAAGGAAACGAAACGAAACGAAAGGAAACGAGACGAGACGAAACGAGACGAGAAAAGACCAGGACAACGATCTTAAAAGAAACATTATACTAGCCGGATCTATTTTAATTTATCCGAGCAGCATGGTCTGGCGAGCAAATTAACTGAACACCGTCCGGCAGGTCGCGGTTCGAATCCCAACGAGGTTTACAGCGCAAAATTGACGCAACCGAGAGAAATCATGCTTATGGTTCTAATACACATATGTGTGTATTTACGATTAGGATATATTATTCGACGTTTACACAGCCATAAACGATGTTATATATATATATGATGAATCGTCGAGTTTAAATATATATTTCTATACTTGGTCTGACGTAATGGTGGTGGTGGTGGTGGTGGTGGTGGTGATGGTTGTGGAATTTGGGGTTTCAATTCATATCATTATTTTATTATTTATTTATTTAACGAACATTAATGATACATTGTTTAACCGGAAATTTCACCATTGAATAATACATAACTGAACGTTATGACGTATATATATATATATACAGTTAGAGTATATATCTTCATATTCGTTTAAACATCCGGAAAAGTTAGTTCGTCAAGTTATTTAATTAGGACACGTATGTATTATATCGTTGGTATGATGATTATTTCAAGACGGAAGTAAGGAAAAGTGGCTGCAATGGGTTTTCTTTATTTAGTATGAATGTAATCATAAATTAATAATGGTGAATAAACGAACTATTTTATACTTTATCGTGATATGTGAAAATGAAAATACATATGCGCCTATAATTATGAAAGTGATTTAAGTCATATATCTCTTGTTTCGAGATATTTGAAGAATTATATTTGAACACTATATGAATTCTATATATAATATTGAAATAACAAACATTATCTTTAATTATAAATATAATTATAATATAAAATAAAAATTTATATTTAATATAATTAACCCTTAAAGCTCTATAGGTTCCGTGACGGAGAAAAATATTTTTAAGCTATATGCTTAAGATGCTACAGTATCTTTGATTGATAATTGTTATCTGTAGTTAAAATGTGCTAATGCATTATTTAAGAAAGCACTGAAAAATAAATAAACAAATATTTAAAAAATTCGATAAGTAAATAATTAAAAATAATACTTGTTGTAATTAATTACAAACAGTGGTACATTTCCGGAGTGTTAAGGATTAAGGTAATAATTATATATTTAATATATTATTATATTATATTCAAATTTATATAAATATTATTATAAAAATATTATATATATATATTATTATTGCATTAATTTAATATAAAATAATGTGTGTTATGTGAAATATTTGATAAACTAATAATTTTGTTTTTTTAATGTCTTGACTTAAACCACTTTCATAATAATGGGCACATATGTAAAAAAGAATTTACTTTGAACATTCCTATGACTTTGTAGATGTTGTTTTTAGTACTCAATTACAAATCGACGATGCAAATCTTGCATTTATTGATATTACCACCTTTCCATTTCAACTTCAACAGAATTACCATACAATATAACTCTTCCGGAAATACGAGTTATTCTTTTCTAAAGACAATGGAATTACGAGTGTCGCGAGCCAACACATTTGCTTGGTTGGTTGGTTGGTTGGTTCGTTGGTTGCTTCGTACGAATTAGCTGATCGTTCTAACGGTAAGACTTGCTCGTAAAAAAAAAAAAGTCACTAATTTTCAAACGTGTGATTGAATCGAAGAAGAAATATCCAAAATTTTACTTGATATTAAATTTCGGTATAAAACACATATCTGAATTAGAGAGAGAAAAAAAAATCCATACGTTTATTTATACCACACGATCATCTTACCAGCTACAAATTGATGATGATGATGATGATAATGATGATAATGATGATGATAGAAACGTTCGAACGTTAGAAAAAGATATAATATTATAACTAAAATCAAAGAACGATGTTTTATTACTAAAGATATATTCTTCTACGAGCAATAACTTGTCTAACATCGATGTTAAAATAGCTTGAAAAAAAGGGACAAAAAAAAAAAAAAGAAACGAAAAACAAACAGAGATCTTGAAGTAACTTGACGGCCAATCATTTTTAGTTGTAAATCATAACAATGTCTGTCGTATAGTATGGTCAATGAAATGAATGGAAAAAGAAAGAAAGAAAGAAAAAGAACGGTGTAATAAAAGTTTAGAGATCTTTAAGAGGAAGAAGAAGAAGAAATATTCTTAAAGATCTCTCTCTCTCTCTCTCTCTCATCTTGGGTAGAAGTCGATGCGATTTCAAGCCTGTTCAAGGCTCGTTAGGTCCGCCACGTTTTTGTCAGATTAAACGCATCGTTGCTTCATCGTTGCTTCATCGTTGCTTCATCGTTCCCATTGACAGAGCTCAGAAACTTTAACGTGTGTGATCCAAGATGGTGAGAGTAAGAAAGAAATATATGTATATATCGTAATACTTTTTTTCAATGAAACGTTATTTCATTTTTTAAAATAATAACTTACCCTAGTAGAACAAAATATTGACAAATATTGAATACATGTGTATTTAATATTAGTATTCAATATTTTTCAATACTTTGTGCTACTAGGGTATATTGACAGGGATAGGAATTGATGATCATAGTATATCAATTTTATTATTCTAAGATATTTTGAATCGGATGATATCAAAGTTGATATCAAGAAAACCTGTCTTAATATTAGATTCAAATTTAAAGCTGGGTTTGAGGTGGTATTGTAAGAGTCAACCAAACCAAAATGTTACAAAGCAAACATAAAACAGATAACGTTTTACTATGTATCATGTTGTAGGTAAGATTTAAGCTTACTCGTTGCTGATGGTAGTAGTGGTAGTACTACTACTTTGTTTACTCGAACAAAGTAACAAGTAGAACGGACTTAAACACTTCGTAAGTCTCGTTCTCTTCTAAAGTCATGGGAGATGAAGCAGAAAATGTAAGATAGTAGTAGTAGGGAGATAGAATGTTGTTAACTCTTCCTACATTAATAGATAGAAAGAGAGAGAGAGAGGAAAACTACTACGTGAAGTCATAGTTGTAAGGTAGAAAGAGAAAGACATATACCATAATAGAAAAAGAAAATACCGAGAGACTTTGAGAGTTTGAACGGTACGGTTTATTTTTGACTTTACGATAGTTTTCAACGGACCGTGAACGATCGAAACACAGGTAAAACAGGCTTGGTGACGTTAATTATAATAAAATATATTTATACCTACAAGAATTTATAACTACGATTATATTCAAAAAGAAAGAAAGAAAAAAACAAAGAAATTCTAAATAATATTCGATAACGCATACGTCGTTAATTATTCTAGGATTCATGGTTATAAAATGAAATTGATTAGATCGATAAAAGAATTTAGAAAATATAATATCGAATGAAGAAGACAAAGAAACAAAATGAATTATATTTTTGCCATAATGAATCACGTTTTAAATGTTAATAAAAAAAAAAAAAAACGAAAAAAAGAGTTTTCATTGGACGTTTATTCGACCGCAACGATGGTCGTCGTCGGTCAATCGAGAAAGGTTGCTGTTGAAAGTAGCGTGAAATCGAACCGAGACGTCCGTGTCTAACGTCGTAATGTTACAAAGACAATAGTATGCATTTAGTTACGGATGTTATTTTCAGAATCACTCTGTAATCTTAACGTCCATCAAAACTGTCAATAAAGAAATTACTGAGGGTAAAGGTTCTTACTATATATATATATATATATATATATATATATATATATATATGTCTACCTACCATGAAGTATTCTATTTCCTTTTGATACAAATGTATCTGTTTTATCGTACCTACCTAATAAATATTCTAACAAGAAAGATATATAGAAAGAGAGAGAGAGAGAGAGAGAGAGAGAGAGAGATAAATAGATGTATGGCAATGAATTCTAGGACTCATTGGACCTAAACTAAAGCGTGTCGAACTCGAAACGGGTGGTTCCGCATGCGGAAGGATTAATCGTGGGCGACAAGTAGCAGATAGTAGACAGAGTGCCTGCTTGCTTGCCTACCTGCCTACCTGCCTACCTGCCTACTTGCCTACCTGCCTCACGTGTTTTAGATTCGTCAGACAACACGTTGTTAAAACGCTGATTAATCCTACACTACTACAAAACTACACAGATTCTATTTTACTATAATAAATATGTGACGCAGAATTCAGAAACGTTACATATAATCGTTCGAGTAATCTGCTTGCTTAAAAGAAAACATTAGTTTAGTTTTATAATTGATAGAAAAAAATTATAAAAAAATAAAATAATACGTGTAGGAGTAGTAGTTTCTTATTTTTTTTTTTTTAGGTTATAAAGTGAAAAAATATCAATTTTTGGCTTGAACTTAGAGATAATATATAATGTTAATGTAATATAAAATAATGAAAATAAGATTTGGAATAATGAAATTTATGTCTAATTCATATTCTTAGAAATAATAATGCATATATATTATTGTTTTATTTTATTAACAATAGTTGTGAATTATATATTAAGTAATGTTGTTTTTTTTTAGTTAACATTGTTTGTCTGAGATAAATTCCTAAATTACAATATTTAACCTATTTAAATACAAATTTAATTTATTTTCTCAAACTTAAAAGATAGACTGAGTAGTTTATTTGGCAATTTTTAATTAATTTATTGTTAATTTTAGGATTTTATTATTTAAGAGTTTCTAAGTTCTTTGGTTCTGTAAGTATACAATAGATTGCATATGTATTCTTAGTTAACATTGTTTGTCTACGATAAACTCCCAAATTATTTAACCGATTTAAATACAAATTTAATTTATTTTCTCAAACTTAAAAGATAGACTGAGTAGTTTATTTGGCAATTTTTAATTAATTTATTGTTAATTTTGGG